GGGAGTCGTAATTTTACAATACTATTTGTAATTATGATTTTACAAAAAATATCGTAACTGTACAGAGAAATTTTTCACAGTGTTGGGTGATGGGAAAGGAGCACCATAGCGTGTGTGGTTTGTTGTTGTTATTGCTTGCATGTTACGTGTTATTGTTCCATAGTCAAAAGTGTCGTATTTTGGACTTTAGTTTCGTAAGTACTTTTGTATAGTCACAATAAATTTTGCCGTTTTTTTTTTTATGTGCAACATTTATATGTGTATTTTATATGCAGGACAGCGAGTATCATGAGTTACAAGAATAATTTGTATCCTCCTTTGAGTGATGTTCAGTGTCGACTGTTTGAAAAGATAGTGAGTGAGTATGGAACCTGTGTCCTCTCCGAGATTTTCGAATTGGACCCAACTATTAACTTTGGAGTTAATCTGGCTAAATTGTCCAGGGTTGTTCTAACAGCCCTGGCTTATTTGGAAAAGAATTGTGCAGGGTGTGAGGGCAATCATTTGTGCTACACTGTTGCAGGTGAGATGAAGTGACGTTTCTTATTTGGTTTGTTGTGTTGTAGTAAATGTTAGCCAGTATCATTGTCATTATTTTCCCTTATTATTTTAGGTGGATGCACTTCGATGTTAATTAACAATACATTTGAGTTCAATGATGTAGATGTGTTTGTGCATTGCACAGGCACAATAAACGAATCTGATCCGGACCTGCCAGATTCATTTCGAGTAAACAATAATATTGCCGAAGTTGATATTCGTGACCTGCATGTCCAAATTATTCAAGTAAGATTACCTGTTCACGTATGAAGTATACAATGAATACAAGAGTGATTTGTACATAATATGTTGCAAGTTTATTTATGTTTATGTCTTTGTGTATGCAGATAAATTTCAACTTGAATGTGCCTAAATGGAAAAGGACATCACCTGCTTCTTTAGACCTATTTGCTACCTATGTCATCAGTACTTTCGACCTTCCCATTTGCAAGGTTGCCTTGAAGTTTCTTTCTCATGATCGAAGCATTGAAGCAAGTGGAAGACAAGCAACGGATCAAAGAAAACTGAAGTATGATGAGAGGTGTAATCCTGGCAGGAATTTTAAAGTCCCCAGTCTTTGTCAGTTAGTAATGTTAAAACTTGTGAATGTCCATCATTCTCAATCACTTGTGTCCGATAAGAAGATAGGATGAATGTTTGTCTTGTATCAGTTGTGTCATTAGTTTAGTTTCTGAGTTTTCTACTTCCTTTTATCATGAGAATTCCATTCAATTACGTTTAAATAAAACTTGTATTGTTAACAACCAGTGATTTGTTGTAATGCTTTGATTTTTAGACAAAATAAACATTTAATTTAACCCAAGTTCTCTTTTTCAACCTTGCTCTGAACTGATCGTGAAGTGACAATATCATGACACAAAGTGTGTGTAAAATGGTCGGAGGTTGTTGAAATTCGCTTTGAAGACTAACAAATTATTTAATTTCTGAAATCTTTTATTATAAAATGGTAAAATTTTAGAAAAAAGGCTTACGTATCTATTAAATTGAAGTGAAACAAAAAATAAGTTGAAGACACACCTTATGCAATTAAAGATAACTTAACTTACAATACTAGTAAATGAAAAGACCTACAAAAAATAAAAACAGCTGACAATATCAATTAAAATTCCCTTTTAAATTTCTTCGAAGGGCTGCCTTCATTCTTCTTTCCTGGAACTAATAAGCACAATTAATAAAAGCACGATTACAAATGCTTTTCCATTTGCACAAAAGACTGAAAGAGCGCAAACTTACTCATCATGTTTCCTTCAGCATCCAGTTTCACAATTTCATGGACAGTGTCTGAAAGAAACAAGTAAATATTAAAGAATGGAATTTCAATGTCATGTTGAAACACTGAGAGGTTTTTAAATTTTTTGTTTAACTTACAATCAAATGTTGGCAAATTCTGCTCCCTTTTCTTCGAGAGTGGCAGGATGTCTATTGGCACACGATCAACACTGGTCCAATTCCGAGCAACAAGGAACCAATCCTCCCCATTTTTGATTGCGTTGTTTATTTTGGAGACTTTGTCGTTAGGGACATTTTCAAATTTGCCCCCTGGATAAATGAGCAGGTTTACAAAGTCATCCATTTGCACAGTGATCTGACTCGTCACTTGGTTCTTTTTAAATTTGGATTCGGTGAGGGTCCATTTTTCCAATTTAAAGGCGATGTTGGGTGGCAATTGACAAGGTTTGGTGTAGACCGTAGCCTTGTCTTGGGGAACAACATCAGCCAAAATATCATCAATGTTTCCGTCGCTCATCTGCAAGCAACCATAAAAGTGGAGTTAATATTCAACATAGTATCCGCGTGCTGCATAAATCTAAAATTTGTTTCAACAACAAGTTATACAACTACCCATTGCACATACCTTGTATGTGGTGAAAACCTATCGAAGGCACACAGACAACAGAAGATGCAACAAAGTATTTGTTGAGATTCAATTACACTGTGCCTGAAAAAAAAAAAAAAAAACAAGCCAAATGGATGATTAGAAACAAAGTAGCACTTGAACACAGCTTCTACCATCACAGAAACCCTAACTTTCTCATTGTGTGTGAACACGTTCGTCCTCACACAAGACCACGCCTAATATTCGTACGTACCTCGTAGCTTGCGTTTGATTTCGATGAACACTGACGACGACGTCGAAGTGGCTCTAAGTAAAATCACGCTTGGAGTGGGGCCTGAAACAACACGCATTGTTTTATAAACATGGTCTGAGCACAAACTCTACTCCATCACGAACAAATTTCCAGCGAGCACTATCAATAAGAAAGTTTAGCTTTTACATTCAAACCGTTTCACTTTAGAAGAAAAAGCGAAGGTTCGAACAAGACGTGTGAAAATATATTAAACCAAGTGAACGCTTCTTCTTACCTCCAAAATACGACGAGGAACGCTGCACACGATAGGCACAGGCAACAGGTCTCAACTTGCACGAACTGACGCCGACCATGCCGAGCCGTGCCGAGCAGTCGCGTCGTGCAGTCGAGGAGAGGGGATAAGGGTGCGTTCCAGTAGCACGAGGACGCGTGTGATTGGTTGGTTGTTGTACAATATCAAGAACGCACCCAAAGCAGGGAGTTGTATCACATAAAGTTAACGCAACGTTTGAAAACTGTTTTATCCAAAAAATTAGTGATGTAAATCCAATTTATTGATAAGTCGTAGCCTGTCTGAAGAAAATTGGTTGGAAAGTAATTGTTATCCCAGTTATTTTGAAATATGGGACGAATCATTGTTGTTTTGTGTTGTAATGTTGCCTGTCTGACCGTTTCAGGAGACCGCGAAATTCAAATGGGGCATTCCCTTTCCACCTCAAACATTACCCTTTTTGTGCCACATTTAGTCTATTCTCGGGTCATTTTCCTTGGAACATACAATTGTTGTTGGTGGATACATATAAAACCTTGTGAAAATTAATGGAACTCACCGGGCAAAACAGAGAAATATGCACAAAAGCAAACGCGCGTCCCACCTCATCCCCTTAATTATCGTATTTTGGACGTTTGATTTGTATTGATATCATAAAGAATCGGCGTTTTTGTTATCCTGGCTTTATCCAAGTCATGCTGAGTGCAAATTTGTCACCTAAGTAACGTGGGATTTTAAAAATAACCACTATAACAAGTATGATGTCGTTGAATGGGGGCTTTTTGGCCAATCTGGCAACACTGTTGCACATCAACCCTTAGCGCTCGCGCCGGGTTGTAACACCCCCTCCACCTCACTTGTAGCGTCTCCACTTGGGGTGTGTGAGTGCGTGAAAAGTTGCTTGTTCATTTGTGCTTGAAATTGCGAAATTATGCCTGGTCAAAATCAAAATATCATTGTACAACACTATCCAGAGCTTCGGCCTGAGATAGTGCTATTGATAGGGTTGCAGAGTGCACCCATGATAAATAATGGTGACATTTTCGGGCGCCTGCACCTGCTGCTGGATATGCATGGGCCCGATAATGTAAATTCGCAAGCTTCGGCTTATTTAAAGACCGAGGATGGTGAAAGCGACATGGAATATATCTATAAAATGTTGGAAGAGACACACCACGACGTGTGCCTCGATACTAAAAGGTCTTGCCCTTGCAAGCACAAGGCAAGGCAGCAAATTTCTGCCTTGTTCGAACTCAGTAGGAGGGCCCTTCTTGCCGTTGTCGAGACAATAGAAGAAGATGTGCGACAGATGGAAATGATCGTGGAAATGCCATGGTGATAAAGGTAAGTAAGATATATCCAAATCGTATTTCTTTTCACAAAAATTTCATACTTTTGCAATTAAAATCATATAAATTCATATAAATCTCGGTGCACACTATGTCCATATAGAGTACATATTTTTAATGCTGCGTTTCTGTTTGTGTGTTTCAGGTGTCAATTACTATGGTGTAGTTTAGTTGCTATAGTTTGTTTTTTAAGAGGAGGCTAAAGTCCCGGCCGTCCAGCGCGCTGGCGGGCTCCGCGCGGCGCTCGCAACGCCTTGCACGGGAAGACTTCTCACGTTGTTTCTCAAAAACCCGTGCACCGAAAAAATCCAAATTCGGCAGGTGGGTCCTTGAAGGACTAATCTCGATGTCGAACGCATTCGTTT